GTTAGACTTGTTGAGTTTACTTCGGCGTGGCCTTCTTGTATCACCGATTTCATGAGCTACACTACCATTCCCGAACTAAATTCATCATCATCGACCGATAACCCCAAGTTAGCCAGAGCATCGGCCTCGCTGTTTTGATCTCAAGGTATGTGCTGCAGGGTCCATTCCCTGAATTGATGCAATGTTACCTATAATTTGTCTAAGTACCTTCGCATCTGTTCTTCTTTTACTTCAAACGTTTCGTTGACTTGGTTTACTATGAGGAGGGAGTCGCATTTGGCTTCGATCACCTTAGCCCCAAGGCTTTTAGCCAATTCTAGATCTGCAATCATGGCCTCATACTCGGCCTCATTGTTAGTCAATTTCATACTTCTAATAGACTACCTAATTACATTTCCCGTGGGCGATTTTAATACGATGCCAAGATTGGACCCCTTCGCGTTTGAGGCCCCGTCCGTAGAAAGGGTCCAAATTCCTGAGATGGTCCCACAGGATAATAATAATTCCCTCTCGACTTCGGGTATTAAGGCCGGTGTAAAGTCGGCCACGAAGTCTGCCAAAATCTAAGATTTTATGGCGGTTCGGGGTCGATACTCGATATCCTACCCGCTAATTTCAATTGTCAACCAGCCCGAGAGCTTGGGTTTGTGCATGATGTTCCTCAGCGGGTAAGAAGTTATGACATATATGCGGTGGCATTAAAAGTATGGCTTTATGTTTTAGGAGGCGCTTAGCAAAGCGAGCGCCAATTTTTTCAGGTGAGGAGATCTTGTTTCGGCCTCGCCTAGAGTTTTACTAATATAGTAAATAGGAAATTGCATACCTTTTTTCTCCTGGACTAAGACTCCACTTACTGCTACCTCAGAAACCGCCAGGTAAAGGTACAATTGTTCGCCCGCCTTCGGAGTGTGGAGCAGTGGCAGACTTGATAGGTACCGCTTGAGTTCTTCCAAAGCTTGCTGGCATTCTGGGGTCCAGGAAAAGTTATTCTTCTTCTTTAACAGTGAGAAGAACCTATGGCTTTTGTCCGAGGACCTCGATATAAACCGATCCAGGGCGGCTATACACCCAGTTAGCCTTTGAACGGCCTTGACATTATCCACCATGGTGATGTCCTCTATGGCTTTGATTTTGTCAGGATTGATCGCGATCCCTCGATTGAACACCATGAACCCGAGGAACATTCCCGATCCAACCCTGAATGTGCAATTCTCCGGGTTCAGCTTCATATTGTATTTCTTCAATATGTCAAAAGTCTCCTGTAAATGTTTCAAATAGTCCTTTATTCGAAAGGACTTGAGTAAGATGTCGTTAATATAAACTTCCATGGATTTTCCTATATGTTCTTCGAACATCTGCTTTACTAGGCATTGGTAGGTGGCACCGACATTTTTTAATCCGAACGACATTACATTATAACAATAGGTGCCGAACTTAGTTATAAAAGAAGTCTTTTCTTGATCGCCTGGGTCTATCCGAATTTGGTTGTACCCGAAATAGGCATCGAGAAAACTAAGTATCTTATGCTCGGCCGTCGCGTCGATCATCCGATCGATGTTAGGCAAAGGGAAAGAATCCTTGGGGAATGCCTTGTTTAGATCTTTGTAATCTACACATGCTCTTAGCTTATTCCCTTTTTTAGGCACTACTACTACGTTAGCTAACCAGTCTGGGTACTTAACCTCCCGAATGGATCCTATTTTAAGGAGTTTAGATACCTCGTCCTTGATGAATGCATGCTTGACCTCGGACGGTGATTTCCTTTTCTGCTTAACCGGATGGAACTTCGGGTCCAAACTCAGCTTATGAGTGGTTACCTCCGGCGGGATCCCTGTCATACCAAGATGGGACCAAGCAAAACAATCTATGTTAGCTTTATGAAAATCAATGAGTTTTTTCCTGAGCTCGGGGGTTAACCCTGTGCCCAGGTATACTTTCAATCCGGTAGGTGTTTGATTAATATGACTTGCTCCAGCTCTTCGACCGTTGATTTGGTGGCATCGGTGTCATCAAGAGCTATGAACAATCTTAGGACTCTGTAATCATCCTCCTTGTCTACTCCTTGTTCCTCCGGTTTGGTCGAGACCGACATCTATGATTGCTATTTAATTTATTCCTTTTTGGTCAGCTCCGTGTTCCTTGATGTTGAAACCGTAAGCACCAAGATTACCTCGTCGACTACGAACATTTCCTTTATGGCCTGCTGCTCTCCGTAGACCGTCTTGACTCCTTCCGGCGTAGGGAACTTCAGCACCTGGTGTAAGGTTAAGGGTACCGCCCTCATGTTGTGAACCCACGGCCTTCCGAATATGGCGTTGTACCTCATGTCCCCTTCGATCACATAGAAATTTATCTCTTGAATTGTCCCGGTGATTTTCACTGGCAGGGTTATCTCCCCTTTAGTGGTTTCGCATGCCATGTTAAATCCATTCAACACCCGGACCACCGACACTATTTGGTCCTGTAACCCCAACTGCTCTACGACCCTCGATCTGATGGTGTTGGCCGAGCTACCTGGATCGATCAACACACGTTTAACTCGAGATTTATTGATAAGTACGGATATTACCAGTGCATCATTGTGTGGTTGCACGATGCCCTCAGCATCCTCATCACTGAACGAAATGGTTCCCTCCGGAACATAATCTCGGGTGCGTATTTCCCTTATGATAGATACTTTAGTGCACTTTATCATTGGCCCTTGAGGGATATCGACCCCTCCAATAATCATGTTGATGACATGCTGAGGCTCCTCTTGTTCGGTCTGTTTGATGGCGTCCCTGTTCCTGAAGTGATTTTTGGCTCGATCGCTCAGAAATTCTCGGAGGTGCCCGTTATTGAATAACCGAGCAACTTCTTCTCTCAATTATCGGTAATTCTCGGTCGTGTGGCCATGAGTGCCATGATACTTACACATCAAGTTAGGATCTCTTTGGGTAGGGTCAGACTGTAATGGTTGGGGCCACTTAGTTTTCTTAATGCGCCCGATGGCTGATACGATGCTGGCCGCATCAACGTTGAAGTTGTATTCTGACAATCTTGGTGCTTCTCTACCCCCGAGTGGCCCGTCGAAACCATTTTTGCTCATCAGACCTCGGCTACTAGGCCCTCGATCGCCTCTCTTTTCGTTCCTTGTGGGCTGACGCTTGGACCCATTTCCTCTTCAATCCACGTTGTATGGTTGGTACCGATCCCTGACCGGTCTTAGCTCATGATTGACGGCTCTCTTAGACCTATCGTCAGCCCTGATGGGGTAAACAGATCCAGAAGAGGCTCTGAGTTGATCGTCCTCGGCTCTAATCTTCGATTGGTACCTGTTGTGGACATCGGCCCAAGTTACCATTGAGTATTCTACCAAATTTTGTTTAGCTGCTGTGAAGCCAATGAGCTTCGGGGTTAAGTCCTTGGGTAAATTTCTGAATGGCCCAATCATCTACGACCGAAGGCAGGTCCATCCATTCCATCTGAAACCTCGATACGAATTCCCTGAGCATCTCGTTGTCTCTTTGTTTATCCTTGAAAAGGTCTGACTTTCTAGTCTCGACCTTGATGGTCCCGGCATGGGCCTTCACAAAATCATCTGCAAGCATAGTAAACGAGTCAATGGAATTTGCGGGGTAAGTTGTGATACCATATCATTGCTTCTTTGGACAAAGTTTTCCCGAACTTCTTCAGTAACACTGACTCGATTTTATCATCTTCCAAGTCGTTCCCTTTGATTGCGCATGTATAGGAGGTCATATTCTCATTCGGATCTGTGGTTTGTTATATTTTGAAATGTCGGGCATACGAAAACTCTTAGGGATCAGCTTCGGTGTCGCGCTCAGAAGAAAATGCTTTTGGATAAACTTCTTGAAATCCGGCCCCTTCAATATCGGGGGTGCTCCCGAGATTTGATCGACCCTGGAATTGTATGTTTCTACCTTTTTGTCATTGGCCTCAATTATCTTTTCACCTAATTCCACCTGTTTCGTTAATGCTTCAAGAATTTTCATTACTTCGGGACTGACCCCGGACTCAGCTTCACCCGGTCTCTTGGTGATTTGCTCATTCCTTCGGACGTTCTCCCGAGATAGTTCGGGCTCAACTCTGCTAGGGGCGTGGCTTTGATTTTGCAGCAGCGCTATCGCCGCCTGTTGAGACTGCAACATTTCAAAGATTAACCATAGGCTAACCCCATCGCCTTCGCCTTCGGGCGCTTCTCGAGCCATTGGTCGGGGTCCTCTGCGAATGCTATTTTCGGGATCAGTTGGAAGGTTAACGTCGATGGCCACCTGTGAGTTAGCATCGACCGGATTAGCAACTGGAATTTCGTTGGGATCAGCAGAAGGTACCTCGTTGCTAGGCACCAGATTGTTGTTTTCGCCATGATGGCCAAACTCAACGTCAACGTTCAAGTGGGCAGACTAAGAATTTGACATTTTTTAAACTGGACTGAAATTAAGACTTTAAAGAAAAAGCATAAAATAAAGTATGTTATGGAGATTTGTATCAAATCATCACTACTATCCTTAACCCCACGGTGGGCGTCAAGCTGTTTACCCTTAAAACGGATAACAATTAAATTTGTACCGATTTTAAGGATATATAGATTGATCAACATAAATGATCAAGAATGTTATATAAACGAGTTAAAGATATAATGAATAATCAAACCAATTGTGATGTTTATAGCCTGGCTCGAATTTAGGCTGAGCAGTAGTTTTTTCCTCGATCGGACCTTTGGTTCGAAGCCAAATGTGTATAAAGAACAACAATAAAATAAGAACTTTGCAATGGCTAGAAAGAAGAAAATGAATTTGTATTGCCTTGGTTTGTGTGTTACAATATGTCTTATCAAATAAATAATTTTCCCTTTATATAGTAGAAGAGTTTCACCCCTATTATAAGTCTAAAAAATATAAAAATCCTCCTCTCTCGTTAATTACTGATATGTAACCGCCATCGAGCGAGATCCGCTCCGTGATATCCGGTTGGTTTCGGATATCACGACCTTCTATATGTCACCTACAACCGTTCATTGTGCTTCCCGAAGTCTCAGAACTCGTCCCGAGTCCGGGGTGCATCGTTTTATCAAGTCTGATGGTGAGCACTTCGTTCGGGCCTCGATACAAAGAGTTCCCAACTTCGATTTCAATCTCATATATTCATACTCTTACTTCGTTTGATCCACAAGGAAACCGGGGTGTGCGTTAGCGCCGATTTCACCCGTATACAAAGTATGTCCAAACACCAGATATAAGTGTAAACTTACAATGTGAGGTATATGAGGTAAATACTTATCGGCAGCCGGTGTTTTACCGGTATATGGTGTGATGGAGAAAGTGTGAAAGCAACATCCTTGATTTCGACGGACTTTTCCTCTTCTTTGAAAAATTATATTTGACTTTAAAATTACATTGTCTCAGCAGATTCATAAAAAANATATGAAGTTTGGACAATAGGAGATGAGCTAGCACATCTCTTTGGCCAAGAATCCTATTAATCTATTTTCTCCTTTTTTTTTTGGCTTTTATCCCTTTTTTCATATTTGTGTGCTATTTTCTTTATACAATAAATACTTACCCATTAATAAAAGAAACGGTCCCAACAATGAATGTTTCTGTAACGACCCGACCGGTCATTTTGAGCTCTAGTGCGTCGTTCAGTGGTTTGAGGCCTTGGGTAGCTTCACTTCAGAATTGACTAAGGTTTGACTTTTGAGTAAACGAACTCGGAATCGGGATTTGAAGATTCCAATAGGTTCGTATGATAATTTCGGACTTGGGCGTGTGTTCGGGTTGAGTATCGGATCACCCGGGAGCATTACAGTGTTTACTATGGAAAGTTAACATTTTGAAAGCTTAAGAATTTTATAATGGTTTGAAGTGGATTTTTATGTTATCAATGTCCGTTTGGGGTTCCGAGCCTTAGAATAGCTTTGTTATGTCATTTATGATTCGTATGCAAATTTAAAATCATTTCGGATTGATTTGGTATTTCGGTACAAGATATAGAATTTGAAAATTAAAAATTTATAAGTTTCATTCGAGGCGCGACTCTTGATTTTGATGTTGTTTGACGTAGTTTAAGGTTTCGACTAAATTTATATTGTATTTTGGGACGTATTGGTATATTTGGTTATGGTCTCGAGGGCCTCGGGTGTGTTCCGGACGAGTCGCAAATCAATTTGGAGCTTTGTTGTATTGCTGAAGGGCCTGAGTTCTGGTGCAATCGCACCTACGAAAAATGGGCTGTAGGTACAACGCCGCAAAAACGGCCAGGCAAGTGCAGGAGCAGACCTTGGCTAGGCAGTGCTGGGACCGTAGATGCGGTCGTTTTGTCGCAGAAGCGGGATCGCACTTACGGAATGGGGCAGCGCAGAAGCGGAGGTTGGTCAAAAGGCTTGGGCCTTAGAAGCGGGCATAAACGCGCAGGTGCGCGAGCGCAGAAGCGCTTGAGGGCCGCAGAAGCGGAAGTGCAGATGCGCTACATGGGGCGCAGATACAAGGACTGTTGGGTTGAGCTGGAGCCGCACCTGTGATGGATTTTTCGCAGGTGTGGAGCCGCAGAAGCGGTTATTGAACCGCAGGTGCGAAGGTCGGGCTAGGTAGTGTGTTTCTTTAAAATGAGGGTTTGGCTCAATCCCACTTCATTTCGTCCATGGGAGCTAATTTTGGGGCACTTTTGGAGTGTCATCTTCATAAACTATTATAGGGTAAGTGATTTCTTGACATCGTGAGTTAAATATATGGTTTATATATGGATTTAAGCATGAGAATTAGTAAAAATTGAGATTTTGGTAGAAAACCTAGAAAGATTTGATATTTTTCAAATTTGACCACGAAATTGGACATGGAATTAGGAGTAAATTATATATTTGAGTTCGTGGTGTTATGGGTAAAGTTTATCTTCGAACATTTTCAAAATTCGGGCACGTGGGCCTGCGGGTTAGCTTTATCGACTCTTCGAGCGGAGTTGGAAATTATTTAAAATGATTAATTATGGGTATTAGAGTATATTTTGATAGAAAGGCTTTGGAGTCGGTTATGGAACTTCGGAGCGAGGTAAGTCTCTTGTCTAACCTTGTGAGGGGGAAACTACCCCCTAGGTGATATTTATTATTATGTGCCACTAGTTGGATTCTACGTACGCACGAGGTGACGAGAGTCCGTACGTAGCTAAAGCATGTTTATGTCCGGGTAGACTTAGGATCTCATCATGAAATGTTTGAATTACTTGAACTCATTCTGCTGGCTTAATTAATTGAAGTTATAATTGAAATTGATTTAGAAGTAAATATATGTACACTAGGCTAAGCCTTAACACTTTGAGTTATGGGCGAGTTATTTGAGAAATGGTAAAAATTATATTTAATCGATGCTCATGTGTTGTATTGTAAACGCGTGTCTCGTAATTCGGGAACTTTCTTCCTTTTCTTGTGGAGTGGGCCAAACGCCTCGGCAGTATATAGATGTATCTATGAATCGTGCCGCACGTCCCTCGGCAGTGTACACATTATTCAGGATCTGAGCAAACGACCTCGATAGTATTGTGCCTTATATCGCTAGTAGCCCGAATATTTACGAGCTAATCTTTTCACTGATGCCCGTCATTTTATGGTATTTCCTATTTATATAATAATGACACTTGACATTTTTCTGAGCTGTTAAGGTGGAATACAAGGTTTAGAAATTTCATGCTTTAAAAGAGTAATTGGAAGGTACAGATTTACCCCATCATTGTCGTATGCTTCATATCTGCTCATGTTTTATTATATTGTTTTGTTGGACCTTTAGTAAGTGTCGATATCGATCCATCGTCACTACTTCTACGGGGTTAGGCTAGATACTTACTGGGTACGCGTTGATTTACGTACTCATGCTGCACTTCTGCACTAAATGTGCAGGATCTGACAGGTTCATTGATGATCACCTTGGTGCGTAGGCGCACCTGTTGAGGAGACTTTATGTGAGCTGCATTCCAGGCTACGCATCGCAGTCCATCGAGTCTCTATTGTACTATTTATTTTATTCTGTCTTATTACATTCGGGATAGATGTTGTATTATTATTATATTCCTTAGAAAATGCTCATGCACTTGTGACACCGTGTTTTGGGAGTTTTTTACGGGTTGTTCATTGTTGTAATTGTGTAAATTTTATTTTATACCATTCAATTAAGGAAAAATATGATTTCAAAATACTAAATGAGTAATTAAATTGGTAAATCACTGTTGGCTTGCCTGACGGCGGTGTTAGGCGCCATCACGACCTTTAGCGGATTTTAGGTCGTGACAGTTACAGACCGTTACAATCTTCCCTATTCTACAATTATGGTCCATTACTACTATATGATAATGATAATATATGTTAAGAATGATAAAGTGAAGATGTAGATCCATAAGGATGATAATTTGATAGTGAAGAAACTCGAAGAGACAATGAAGATCCACAATAGGTGTCTGCTCTTTTTTTTTTTTCAAGAATTTCTGTGTGAATTTACGAGTTAATGATAAGTTTAGTTTGCGACACCATTATTTGTCTATTACTTTGATGACTCTGTGGTTAGTTTAGTGGCAGTGTTTCTCCCACGGCCACCATCACGTTCCAAGAAACATATGTGGATGTAGAAAGGCCAGCCCCAGTTCTTGCTGGAAGCTCAGCACGAGGGCCCTCNTATGTGGATGGAGAAAGACCAGCCCCAGTTCTTGCTGGAAGCTCAGCACGAGGGCCCTCCAGAAGCTACTTGGGAATCGCAAAGCCAGACATTATGGCACCAGGGGTACTGATTCTTGCAGCTGTCCCTCCTAATCTCTTTTCAGAAAGCATTGGGACAAATATAGGATTATCTACTGATTACGAGCTTAAATCAGGCACATCCATGGCTGCACCACATGCTGCTGGAATTGCAGCAATGCTAAAAGGGGCACATCCTGAATGGAGTCCTTCAGCTATTCGCTCCGCCATGATGACCACAGCAAACCATTTGGATAATACCCAAAAACCTATTAGAGAGGACGATGGCATGGTAGCCACGCCCCTAGACATGGGTGCAGGGCAAGTTGATCCGAACAAAGCTCTTGATCCCGGCCTAGTATATGATGCTACTCCACAAGATTACATAAATCTTATATGCTCAATGAATTTCACAGAAGAGCAATTTAAAACTTTTGCAAGATCGTCAGCCAATTACAACAACTGCTCAAGTCCATCTGCTGATCTCAATTATCCATCATTCATTGCCTTGTATCCGTTCAGTCTCGAGGGAAACTTCACCTGGTTGAAGCAGAAATTCAGGAGGACCCTTACAAATGTTGGTAAAGGTGGAGCAACTTATAAAGTAAAGATAGAAACTCCAAAGAATTCCACAGTTTCAGTGTCTCCAAAAACATTGGTGTTCAAGAAGAAAAATGAGAAGAAAAGCTATACTTTGACAATTCGGTATATAGGTGACGAGAATCAGAGTCATCATGTTGGGTCTATCACTTGGGTTGAAGAGAATGGTAACCACTCTGTTAGGAGTCCTATAGTCACATCTCCCATTATTGAGGTCTGGGGTATTGATGATTAGGACGGTAGATCTAGGATTTAAGCTCTATGGATTCAATCTTTAAGGGTTTTTTTTTTTTTTTTTTCATTCAACCCATTCTATTTCTAAAATGATAGATTCATATCTACTATTTGTTGCATTTTTAATTGATTTTTATACATAATTTTATATTTCGTATTGAAAGTACTTGGTTTAGATGAATCAGGTATAGCTACTTTAGATTTGCATCTATTAGATTATGTATACTGAATAAGAGAGTTTTTGTCCTATCCAGAAGACATTGGAATAAATCATGTATGCGCTATAAGCAACTTTAAGCCTTGAAACGCCCCAATATCACTGATTTTATCCCTTAGAACTTTTTGATCAAATAAAGAAGGGGGTTACAAGAAAAATCAACAATGTTGATACACACAAAAAAAATCCAGGAAACACGTTAGATAAACATATATGTTTATTCCAATGTCCTACCCAATAGACATTGGAAAACATTTACTAGTCAATTGCAGCAATGTTCAGAGCATATGAACACTTGCTTGAAACAAGCACTTTTACCCAAATCAATGGAGAGGTCAAAGGGTAAGGTTGAATTGAGAGGGAAGTCGCCACAAAGAACTTAAGGTATTGATATTTGTCGCCATGGAATCGAATGGAATATTGGCAAAGGTACAGAAATTAATCTCTGGCTGGACCAGTGGATTCTTTCCTCTGTAATCTTATTCAAGGCTCTCTTCAACAACACGACATACCTTGTAAGGTTAAATATGCACGTAACGCTTGTATTACCTCCAACTTAAAGCAAAAGACTTTACCTTTTGCTTTTGCTCTTCCCCATATCTCTGTTACAACAAGGGACACCTACTACTGGGAAACTAAAACTGTACGGCGGGTTTACTACAAAATTTGCCTACGCCGACCAAAAAAAAAAAAGTTTTCTTTATTTTCTTCGATTCAAAGTGTAATTATCTTAGGAGATAATTTTCTCCCAAATAAAACTTTGTATCGGATTCATACAATCTTTATTACTTGGTGATGTAACAGTAACTATATTATCATCCTTAGATTAAAAACGAAAAAAAGGAGTAAGGTTAAAGAGCTTTTTTATTTTTATTTTGATCTTACCTTATTTTTAACTACTTCGTAGTACTAGGTGAAAACGTTAGAAAAAGAGAAATGTGCACTACTCCCAAAAATTAGGTCAAAAAATTAAAAGCGAATTGGAACTACTGGTAATTACTGACGTAAAAGCATAAAAGAACTGTTGACAACGCACTAGGTGCTGCAAGCAAGTGTTCTATACTAGGATATTTGCTGCAATTTGCTAGCAAATTTATCATCATTATTAATTTGGGATAGGCACAGACAATTCATACAGTATAGTACATGATTTCCCGTCTAGCTTTCCCTTTGTTCTTGTGTTTGGTACTTCCAATTCAAGAATCTGATGGTCCTATGCATCCCAAGGCAAAACATTTCATAAGGTAGCGCAACTTATGACCAGATCTCAATAATGGGAGATGTCACTATGGGACTCCTAACAGAATGGTTTCCATTCTCTTCAACCCAAGTGATGGACCCAACGTTTCTACTTTGACCCTCATCACCTAAATAACGAATTGTCAAAGTATAACTTTGTTTCTCATTTTTCTTCTTGAACACCAAAGTTTGTGGTGACACTGAAACTGTAGAGTTCTTGGGAGCTTTTAGTTTAGCTTTATAAGTAGCTGCACCTTGACCAACATTTGTTACTGTCCTCCTGAATTTCTGTTCCAACAATGTGAAGGGTCCCTCGAGCGGGTACAATGCAATGAATGAAGGGTAATTGAGATCGGCTGATGGATTTGAGCAGTTGTGGTTGTCTGATGATCTTGCAATTGTCTTGAATTGCTCTTCGGTAAAATTCAGAGAGCATAGAAGATTTACGTAATCTTGTGGAGTAGCATCGTATACTAGGCCAGGATCAAGCGCTCTGTTGGGATCAACGTGTCCTGCTCCCATGTCTAGGGGTGTGGCGGCCTTGTTAATGTCCGAGTCTTTAATAGGTTTTCGGGTATTATCCAAAGGATCTGCTGTGGTCATCATGGCAGAGCGAATAGCTGAAGGACTCCATTCAGGATGCGCGCCTTTGAGCATCGCTGCAATTCCAGCTGCATGTGGTGCAGCCATGGATGTGCCTGATTCAAGAATATAATCAGTGGATAATTCTATGTTCGCCCCAATACTCGTGGCAAATACGTTTGGTGGATATGCTGCAAGAATTAGTACCCCTGGTGCCAATATATCTGGCTTCGCAATTCCCAAGTAGCTTCTGGAGGGGCCTCGTGCCGAGGATGCAGCAACAACTGGTGCTGGCTTTGCATCCAGATACGTCTCTTGGAACGTGATGCTGGCTGTGGGATCGACAGTATTTTTTACATAATTGATGACTTGTTTCCCTTCCTTTTTGTTAATTACGACTCCAGGGTTGGGAAATGTAGCAGACCTGAATACTCCTGGATCCTCAGAAATAAAGATGCCTGCTTTAACTCTTGCTCGAGTGACAATACGCATTTGATCAGAGAAATCCCCATTATCTTCACATATAATGATGGTACGTTCCGGATCAGATAGTTGTGATAATAATTCTTCCGAATTGCAATCAGCTAGAGTCTTGTTGTAAATCACTGTTGAATCCTTAACAATGGCTCTTGCAGGAAACAAGCTCCACCCTCTAATTTTTAAGCCATTGCCCAAAGTCAAAGTACCTGCAAACGTCCTGTCAGTGTGGCCTGATGCCACGCACAAGATCCATGGAGATCCGTTGTTTAAACTTCCAATCCCCGGGCCTCGATTTCCAGCTGAAGCAGAAACTAGCACTCCCTTCATCATAGCGCCAAAAGAAGCGATGGATATAGAATCCTCATACAAGGGAATGAAACGGAACCCATAAGAAATGGATATCATATCAACACCGTCCGCCACAGCTTGGTCCATAGCAGCAATTAAATCTGAAGTAAAAGTTCCTTCATTAAAGCTAAACTTGTACACAGCTAGCCTAGCTCGTGGCGCGACTCCTCTTGCTGTTCCTGGTGCATATCCAAAATGGGAAACACCTTTGGCGAAATTCCCACCAGCAATGGAAGCAACGTGTGTACCATGACCATCAGTATCCCTGGCAGAATTCATGGAAATGTTCACAGTTGGATCATTAGCCAAAATTCCCTTATTGAAGTAATTAGCACCAATGAGTTTTCTGTTACACAATGAAGTGTTAAACTGTGTGCCGGACTTGCAAATTCCTTTCCACCTTTTGGGGACNTGCACAATGAAGTGTTAAACTGTGTGCCTGGCTTGCATATACCCTTCCATCTTTTGGGGACTTCAGGCATACCATCATCTCGAAAACTCGCAGATTCAGGCCAGATGCCAGAGTCAAGAACACCAATGATCACATCTTGGCCTAAACCAGAAGCAGGCCATAGCCCAGATGAAGGATTGAGCTTGAGGAAATCAGATGTGTGGGTAGTTTGAGGTTCCACAGTTCTATCTTTGTAAGCTGAAACAAAACCAGGTAACTTCTTCAAAGCTTCTAGTTCATCCTGTGACAAAACAGCACTGAAGCCATGAAATACATAGTCATAAGAGTAAACAAGTTTTGGAGCAGAGTGGAATCTGTCTACTGATGAAGGAACTGCAGCTTTAATGGAATCAATAGTGGAAGAATGCCAATGATGGTGATCAGCAAAGATATTAGGCATTAAGGATTTGTCCAAATGGACAATGTAAGTGGATCTTTGTGCTGTCGCTAACAAACAGAAGACATGAGCAGAAAGAAACCATGAAAGGAAAAGAAGATGAAAATAAGGCAACCCCATCTTAGATCTTTGTGTTGACTACACACTACACTTCTTAAGCCACCACAGATTCAAGTGATTTTATAGGATTATGCAAGCAGCATTTGGTTCTTGCAATAATCTATATTGCTATTCAAGTAGGGAATGAAATGAGCTAAAAAGGGTACTAAAGTATAGTAAAGAAAGGCGGCTAAGCTTTGGGTATAAGTGAAATGAACCTATAAAGTATCAGCTTGTATAGATGTCTGGTTCTTCTCACTGGTTGGAAAGAACCAATAATGTCAATTTGCAAACATGGCCCCACTTGTTATCCATTGAATATGTTATTTACTACTATATGATTTCTTGTTTTCTTAAATATTATTTTAATGATCTTGTGAGGCCAGATAAGAAAGAATTATGATAAACTAAGTCAAATGTAATCTCTTTTAAGCAAAAGAAAAGTCAATAATGAAAGGTGTTGCTTTCACTCTTTATCCATTATCAAATATTCCATGTTAGGATATGCTCCTTTAGCTTCTGGATAATGTAATCTAACCTAGATCTGATCACAAGGTCCAGACTTGCCCACTTGCTAATGAGTCAGCTACTGACATTAAAAGCATTTCTTTATTTAGAGATCTAATCAAAGGAGGATTGAAAAGATTAGAAAAGAGAACACGACAGAACTTAAAATTCTTAGGTGGAGAATAATAAATTCTTTAAATTTCGTAGCAAATGCAAGCAATTCGTATGGATTTTCCCTATTTTTTACCTCTTATTTCACGAATAGGAATTTCATATTTCATCATCAGTTGAATAGTATTTAAGAATTAAATGAGAAAAAATTATAATTCCTAGCAGGGAAAGAGATTGAGTTTTCTCCCATCTTTTCTTTTATTTTTTTTTACTTTGTATAAGTAATTTTTTTATCGTCTATATTTCCATATAGAGATTTCTGAAAGTCAGTATCCGATTACTTTTCCTGATACCTGTTCCCCATTTGGTAAAATTTGTTGGGGCATTAATAGTGGAGGGGAATAGTAGTATTGTCTCTTGATAGTTAGTGGTAAAATTTTATTTGTATATGATTGTTTGCATTAAACCAGACTGAATTACCATGATTGACATAAATTGAAGTCAGAATGTATATTAATTAATTACTTATGATTTAGTGATAATAGTGTAAGTCAACATATGTGTCATGTATTTATTGGTTTAATATAAACACCATATGCAAATAAGTTTTTACCGACAACGAATATTCCGGCTCTCGCATTGATGAAGAACGTAATGAAATGTGATATTTGGTGTAAATTGTACAATCCCGTGAATTATCGATTCTTTAAATGTAATTTACACCCAAGCCATTAGGCAAAGAGCACGACTGCCTGTGCGTCACGCATCGGGGAAAATGCCATGGACCTTTTCCGTGGTCCCAAGTTTGATTAATGACTCAAAATCATGATTCATGTAATGCCACGTAATGGGGAGGGAGTGGCATATGGGTTTTTTGAGAAATTTTATTTTAGGTGAGACTCACCCAACAATAGTTGTATAAGGTCATTCTCTACTTTACAAGTATGGGATTCATTCGCGGACATTGGATTAATTTAAATAAATAAAGAGAAAAAGTGAATTTGGTGTTGATGTGGTTCCCACCTTATATATTCATATTCAATAAATAGAAAACTAAATAGATAGTATTACAAGAGAAATGGAGGGAAAGAAAAAATGTGGAAGCCATTTTCCCTCCTTAATTACCATCACTGGTCATCAAATAGAGTGTAGACTCCAACAAAATTTCTCACCACTTTCTATTGTTGATCAACATAGTCCAACGAAGGCCACAACATGTTGCAGCCAAAACCAAGCTCAAACAATAACCAATGCTGGCATCAATTGAAGCATAATAGAACCCTATCACCAAAGGATATCAGATGGGGTTGCTCTTCCCTTAACCAGAGGTCTCGGGTTCGAGTCATGGGTATGGAAAAATTCTTGGTATGCAGCGCTTCCCCCCGAATGGAGCCCTACGCAGCGTGAATCCGGATATAGTCGGACTCCAATGCGGATACCGGACACCAGGTGTTCTTAAACAATTTACTACAAAATATTACATTGATATGACAAGTGAAGAAGATGCTTCAACATCTAGAATCTGTATTTGTGAGACATCTGAAATATAATTTATTTTTGTGAGCAATATACAAAGAAGCCATAAGAGATTGAGAAAGAATTTACCTTAAATCCATGGATAAACGGAAGTAGCAGAAAATCATTAGAATTGAGCTAAAATTTGACCGAACGGGATTAGATTTGTACAAGCTAGAACTTTGCATTAAAGTTAATCACAATCTACTATTGATTTCAAATTTACTTGTTTCATTCAAAGCAATCGCATATCTAAGTTTGACTAAGTGAAAGAACATGAACTATGAAAGTGTTACATCGTAGAGATGAATACGAAAAGTATTAGTTTAAGCAGAAGAAACCAGAGTGAATAATACCTTAATACACTAGAAGAAATGGTGTTTGGGATTTTTTTTTTATTTTGGGTATTGTTTCATGTGGTGAAAATGAGAAGGAGAAGCTCTTCAATTCATTTCAGATGGTATTTGTGATTTTGTATGGGACCCACAGTCCACTATATCTTTTTATTATTTTATTTAATAGACCACATTCTACTAACTCATTTTTTCTCCTTTGTTTATAACTTAATGCCAGCAAATGGACCCCACAAATATACTTGTCAAAAGTAGAGAATGACCTCATACAACTATTATTGGATGAGTCTCACCCAAAATAAAATTTTTCTTTTTTTATTTTGGGTGAGACTCACCCAACAATAGTTGTATGAGGCCATTCTCTACTTTTGACAAGTATATTTGTGGGGTCCATTCGCTGACATTGGATTAATTTAAATAAATAATGAGAAAAAGTGAATTTGGTGTTGATGTGGTTCCCACCTCATATATTCATATTTAATAAATAGAAAACTAAATAGATAGTATAAGAGAAATGGAGGGAAAGAAAAAAATATAGAAGTCATTTTCCCTTCTTAATTACCATCACTAGCCATCACAATAGAGTATAGACTCCAACAAAAATTTTGTGATGATCCAAAATGTCATCTTTAAATTTAATAAATAATTATGTGTTCTAAGACCTCGAAAAGTACTATTTATCATTTCTCGACTTGCGTGCGCAATCCGTACAATTTTCCGAAAATTGTTTATGTGAAAAATGGATTAAAAAGTGAATGGAGCTTTAAAACTCAACTAAGTTGACTTTGGTCAATATTTTAAGCAAACAGACCCAGATCAATATTTTGACAATTCCGATAGGTCCGTATCGTGATTTGGGACTTGGGCGTATGCCCGGAATCGAATTCCGAGGTCCCTAACCCGGGATATAGAATTTTGATGAAAAATTAAAAGCTTGAAAGCTTAATGATTTTTAAGAAATTACTGATATTGGATTTATTGACCTCGGATCTGTATTTTAGTTCCTGAGCACGATATAGGTCCACTATAATATTTATGACTTGTCTGCCAAATTTGGTGAGAATCGGAGTTGATTTGACGTGATTCAGACGTCCGGTTGTAAAAATATAAGTTTTAAGGTTTTCTTGAAAATTTCCTTTGAATTGGTATCCGATTCGTAGTTCTTGGTGTTATTTTAGCGATTTGATCGCGCAAGAAAGTTCGTATGATATTTTAGGACTTGGGTGCATGTTTGGTTTGGAGCCCCGAGGGCTCGGGTTGGTTTCGGGTGGTTAACGGATTATATTTGGACTTGAGGAAACTGCAGAAACCTGCTTCTGGTTTCCTTCTTCGCGTTCGCGAGGGGAGTATCGCGTTCGCGAAGAGCAAATTGTGGCTAGCACATTTTGTGCTTCGCGTTCGCGACAGAGAGAACGCATTCGCGAAGGCTTGAGGTGCGAAGCTTCGCGTTCGCGATCGAAGCCTCGCGTTCGCGAAGGGAAAGGGGCTGGCCAGGACAATTGCCTTCGCGTTCGCGAAGGGCATCTCGGGTTCGCGAAGGCCAAGCCAGGCAAGTTTCGCATTCGCAAAGAGTAAAATTGGGCAGTAGAAATTTGTGCTTCGCGAACGCGAGGCACTGACCGCGTTCGCGAAGGGTAAAAATCCCAGAATCAGAACTTAAGTTCTGGAAATGGGGTTTCGACCCATTTTCAACTCTTTTCCATTTTTGAGCTCGGGTAAGGCGATTTTCATGGGAAAATATTGGGATAAGTGTTCCTTATCCTATATTGATTATATTTCATGATTTCATACTCATTTATATCATGAATCCGTGAATTTATGGAAGAAAAATCAGATATTTATAAAATCTTCCAAAACCGAAAATTTAAGATTTGAAGGTCCATTTGACATCGGTATTGGATAATTTTTGTATGGTTGGACCCGTCTCGGAATGGGTGTTCAGATTTTATTAGTTTTTTTGAGATTAGAGACGTGGGTCCCATTGTCGAATATTTTAATGAATTTCGGATTTTATCTGAAAAATTAGTAAATTCATATAGAATTAATTCCTATGATTCGTATTGAGTATATTGAATTGTTTGTGAATAGATTTGAAGCTTTCAGAGATAAATTTAAAAGGAAAAGCCGTGGTCGAGTAATTTATTGANATTATAAATGAGTTACCTAATTTATTTCTATTATTGTTGTTGTTACTAATATTGCGTACATGTATTGTAAGTGACCCACCTTAGCCTCGTCACTACTTCATCGAGGTTAGGCTCAAGACTTACCAGTACATGGGGTTGGTTGTACTGATCCTACACTCTGCACTTCTTGTGCAGATTTCGGAGTTGGTCCTAGCGGCGTACCATAGACTTGCCCGGATTTCAGCTACTCGGAGGAGACTTGAGGTATAACTGTATGGCGTCCGCAGTTCTAAAGTCCTCGTCTATTTTACTTTAGCTGTGTGTTTATTTCCAGACAACTTTATTTTATTCAGACCTTTATTTGTATTATTCTAGAAGCTCGTGCACTTGTGACACTAATTCTGGGATGGTATTTAGACACCGTTGTTTTTATGGATTATTCACTACATTTCAGACTTTACTTCCGCATTTGTTCTTTGATTATTAATAAATTTAAAATTCGTTTTAAAAATAGATAATATTATTCTAACGTTGGTTTGCCTAGCAAGTGAAATGTTAGGCGCAATCACGGTCCGAAGGTGGGAATTTCGGATCGT